TCGGGAGAGATTCAAGCCCTGCCTGTACATGGTGCTGTGCAGCCTGCTCTGGGTGACCCTGCTTGGGCAGGGGGTGGCACTGGGTGACCCCAGAGGTCCCTTCCAGCCCCAAACTTTCTGTGATAGAAAAAAAGATTGATGGGCTGCCTGTCAGTCATGCTCTGACAGCTGGGTCCTGTATAGACCTTCCTATTCTTAACCATCAGCAGCCGGGATCTCTCACCCCCACCCAGAAAAATTTCTTAATCTCTGTAGTGTTTCATCACTCCAAGGTGAGCAGAGTCCCTGCCCGACTCAGCCTAACGAGCTCCTCTGGGAGGGGACCAGGGAGCTGATCGCCTGTGATGGGGGAGCCTCGGCTGGGTCCCACCGGAGGACTTTCCACCCGCGGTCACTGGGTGTGAGCTGTGCTGTCAGCAGCAGGGAAGAACACCCTCTAACACCGTGAAAAAATCACCCACACAGTGCTGTGACCCTGGTCAGCACCTATTACTGTTATTATTATTATTATTAGGTATTAAAGTTACCATCCCAAAGCTGACTTGTACTGCTGCTGGCACGGCATGACGGTGTAGTAATGCACCGGTGCTTCAGACGCCCCTTTCCTTCTCCAAAGTCATGTTTCATCGGCTTCTGAACAAAATCCACGCCTGTTTATGTGGGGACAACTTGTTTTGGTTCCTTCTGCGTTCCACCATGCGCTGCCGTCAGCCCGCAGAGGTGGGAAATGGCCTTAACGGTCCCTTTCAGATATCAAAAGGGAGTGCTGGGGGTGGGAAATGTTAAATAAGTGGCTAAAAAATACTGATTAGGGACGCTTATACATCGCCACCATCTATTGGACATCGTTGGAAATATCCTCTCTTTTTTATTCTAGGTCAAAACCTATTTTTTATCTGCTAGTAAGGCTTGGGTGGCCAAGCGCCTTCTCCTTGTCCAGCAAACGGAGAAACGGGGTAAAAAGAAACCCGCGACGGCTGCGCTGCCTCTGCAGTTGGCTGATCCCTTCTGGGGAGTTTCTTTCCTCAGCATCAGCTCCTGAGCCTGTTAAACACGAGCGGGCAACGCTGGGTGTTCGGGCAGCCTCTGACCGAGCTCCTCTCCCTTTTGGAAATGATGCTTTCAACCTCGCTTTTTATTTTTTTAACCCCCCCTAATGAAGTTCTTGGGTGAGGCTTTGGGTTGTGTGAAATCTAGATTATCAAATTCACTCCAATTTATGAATTATTTTTCTCTTAAATAGGCTGGGCTAACCACACACAAGTTGAAGTGATAATTCCTGGTATTTTAAATTATCTCCTCCTGCATCAGCTGTTTCTCACTCTCCGAAAGGACCCCCACTGATAAAGCTGCCCCAGGTTTTACACTGAAGGGAAATGAAAATAGATTGAGACAGCTGAACTTTTATCCCATATAGATGAAGAATTTAATTTTTCATTGAACTTTTAGCCCATATAGGTTAAGAATTTAATTTTTTTGTTGTTGATTTATGTCAGTCACATCCACCACAGCCTCCACAATACCCAGGGAGCGGCTGGCCCCACCCCCCCCAGCCTCCACAATCCCCAGGGAGCGGCTGCCCCCAGGGCTCCCGGGTGCGGAGTCAAAGGGGTGAGGCTCCCCGCCGTGTCACCCGCTCCCTGGGGCAGCAGGGTGGGTTCATCCTGGTGGCCTTCACGGGGAAGACACCCATCCCTGGCTGCAAAAC